GGTTAAGTGACTTTAGTCATGATGTGTCGCTAGAACGTTGGCATGTAACCTCACTACCTTCAGGCGCTGCTACCTTTTCGGTTGACATAAAGGTCACCTTTCCCCGACGATATCAACATTTGACTGTCCGATTCCAGACCTCTGAAGTTCGCGAGACCGGCGACTAACACACCACTCGTACTCTGCCGATTAAACGTTGCAGTACAAGGGCCAAGTTTTACCAAAGCCTGATTACACATGAGGTGTTGCCGGTGCCACCGCAACTGTACACCGCTGGCGGTTTTCGCCTCTCTGTTGCTGGCAGACAGCGGCGCTAAGTCAGCCAGTACCAGACAAACTAGGACGACATTTGACTGCAGAGAGATCGCCTGTCAAACTTTGAAACTGATCGCCAAGCACCAAAGTGTGCCTGATCCATTCACCCCGTGGCAACCGATGGCTGTCATCAAACTTTGGAGTTTGGTGGTTCATTGTCACTCGGCTACAAGCAGGAAACGTGCACCTAAAATCACTAGCTTTACATTCGGGTATCGGAGGTGTTTTGACTCTCTTTGCAAGCATGCTGCCAATTTTGGCCCCTTTCATTTAGATTAAGACGAAAACTTCAAAAATAATAGGATAGTTGTCCTGCGCTAGTCTATCAAAATATCTTATTTAAGGGAATGTTTCACGTTTGAAGATGTTGAGCCAAACTATCAGATATAATGGAATGAGCCTACTTTCAGCTGTTGGTATAGATTTAAGTCTGAAAACACTGCTCTACACAAATAAATTCTCTGTTTATTGAATACGCTCTTCAAAACGTTATTGTTTAATTGTCATTGTACCTTGCACAACATTGACTGGGAGTCAACTGACGGCGTTATATCTGGAAATTGTGCTTCATGCGAGCGCCAGATATGACCGACTCGATAATTATGTCTTCTTGGGCTTGATCGCTGCATGGCTAGTGGAATGGCGGGATTTTAATGCGTTATTATGGCGTCATGGATGTCCTGGGTGGCCGTGGAATAGTTGCAGTGAAATAGTTTGCACATCTCCCGCGGCGTGTAGCTCAGAAATAAAATGGATTTAGGTCTCAAGCAGAGCAGGGCTGTGAATTCCACTGAATGATCTTCAACATGGCTATTTCAAATCCAAACCCTACACAAACGTGGAGCATCCCTTTAAAATAATACTAATGGTTATAACTAGGTTTATTTCATCGCATGAGGCGCTTGCTTTAATAGCTTCAGATCTCGGACAATACATTCATCTAACCGGGACTGAGACATCCTCCATATGATGACCTTTTGCTCCCCCCCCCCCCCCCCCCCCCCCACCGCAACCAACTTACGTCTGGCGCCTTTACCTCGGCAATTTGTCTGTAATTACCAGTTAGCTTTTTGTGTCTGGCCGCGCATGAATTATTTGATCAATAAGTCACAACAGCCCTGTCATCAGATGTGCTATGCAAGCGTCTAGCTTAATGGTTTTCCATGCCCATATGTGGCGAATCGGCTAGTATAGCAAACCTTGTCTAAAGTACTAACTTACGAGTTTTGTGTAAACAGGAAGAGCACAGGAAATATGTCCGACTGAGTGAACTGACATTGGGCTGACATGATCTTGTGCCGATCTTACTCCGGGTCTTGCACTTTGACGAAGATTTCTTTAACTTGTAAAAACTTGACTTGACCAGGGATGTCAGTCGCGTGACGAATGCCAACTCAGCAGTTCCCGTGTAATATTGACCTGAGCTATCAACTGCGGTTTAAATCCTATCCCGATGATTAAATCGTGAGATGTCCAGAGGGAGGGAACTTCTCCGAACTACAGAGTATCGTGGGTGACGAAATAACACAGAAGATGCCAGCTTACGGCACAAATCCTCTCCGCACATTTAGTTCATCTCACCGGCTGTTTGGAGGGCTTCCACGCATACCGACGTGTAGTTGTCAATTGCAAAAAAGCAAAACTGAAGATGATTACTCCGGAAGAAAAGTATTTACCATCGACGGCATCCCATTAGCTTTACAAGACGTTTGCAAGGCTTAGAGATCTTAGTTGGTAATGGTTTGGATCTGGACCAATGACGGATATTTTTTCTTGCCCATTTGGAACAGATGCGTTGTTTGCGCAGAGGTCTGTGGCCCGGCCGGGCTGGAGAGATGCTGACGTGGCTGCTTATGTTGTGCCATGAATTCTTCTCCTTTCCATCAAGACAGTCTGACTTGACCCATCAACTATTATTTCAAAATACAGGTCTTCTAAATCTCTCCATTAGGAATTAGCAAGTCACTGACAAAGCGAAAGCTGTAGTGATTCTTAAAACCGTTTAAGCAAGAGGAAATCAAATAGATCC